AATGTGGAAGTTACGGTTTGAAACATGTAGAACATTTTGCCAAGTAGAGGTCTTTTTCACCTGCTTTCAATGACCAGATAAAAAAAATTGTCTATTAAGTGTTCAAAGTATTAATTTCCTTAGGAAGGCTACACATAGCAGCAATGTGCCAAATTCCAGCGGCTTTGCACCGATTTGTCACAAAGGCTGAGGTAGAACAGCCATTGCTGCTCTTGCTGTGATACCTTGCTGCATTGACCTGGCACTTAAATTTCACAGCGAAAGTCCTCTCTTATTACATGACAGACCACTTGTTAGCACTCAGCAAGGTTCTAACTGGGAGGCAACGCCTGAGCCAGGGTCCTCTGTTACCCCACGGAGACCGGAGGCCTGGGTTCCGGGACTGAGGCGAGCTTGGTGGAGCCTCAGCCGTGTGCTGTCCTCCCACCATCTCGCCGAGTGCTCCCGGCGCCTCTGGGCCCGGCCTCCCCCCGTCTGAGGGCACTGAGTGCTGCTCAGCACAGGCCTTACAGCATTCTGCCGAGGGGAGGGCTGGGTGCACCCAGACCTGGCTTCTCCACCTCCGTGTTAACCTTTCTGACAAAATTCAGGTCATAATTATACCTTGTTAAAGGGTTGTTCTGGTTATTAATACTGACAGATAATACAGTAGCCCAGAAAGCATTTAGTATTAAGTTTTGTATATTACCTATTGTCTTTAGCGGCTAGTCCTAGATTTAATATTTTAAAACTTTCTATATTCCACATCCGGGGGATGCAGTCCTTTGTTACCCAGTTTTTAATAAACAGTGTAAAGGTCAAGGAAGTGTAAATGAGAACAAGGAGAGCTCCTGGGGTCCTCCCTCAGCGGGCGCAGGCACACAGCCGCTGCCAGGTCCTCCTGGGTGGCACCGGCCCTGGTCCTGCTCCCCGCCTCCCGTCACAGCAGAGCAGCTACTGGATTAAGCTTGTCAAGTCCCTAATCCCGCCCGTCCACAAGGAATTCTAAGAATGAAAGTATTCCCTTTACTCTTCTGAAGGGCATTTTTCAGAAAAATATAATAGAGATTGTAAGTTGGAGCTTTGTGCTCAGTGGTGTGAGGATTTGCTAATAGGAAATATTAATTTATATATATATATATATATTTGCTAACGGGACTGAGTGAAACTGACAGGGACACGCTAAATCCCATCATCCCTCCCTCCCTCCCTCCCCCCCTCCACTTTGGAAGGATTGATCTCCACGTCCAGCAGGTTTTTCCTAAATGCCTGTTTCCCCGCCGCAGCCCGCAGTGTACATCAGGATCAAGAACCGGGCCCAGAACGAGTACCTGACGGTCGCCGGAAACGCCCCCGACGCCCGGGCCGCCTGTGTGTGCACCGCCCCCTACAGCGGGAAGAGCACGCAGGTCTGGCACTACTGCCGCGGCCTCCTCAAATCCAAGGTGAGCGGCCGCACACGGGCCCTGCTCTTGGGTCTGGCTTGTTCTTCTGGAAACCGGAATCTTGTGAAATCAACGGGCGTGAGAAACTAGCGCAACTTCCTAGAAACAGTCTGTCCCCATGACTACATACTAGTAAATACTGGTGCTTATACATGAAAGTGAACTGGACTTAGAGAAGTTTTTGATCTAGAAAATTCAGCTTCTGTTTTAAAGTGAAATCTAAGATGACCACACACTGTGCTCTAAGTGGTTCTCCAGAACCGATGGGGAGTCCCGGGTCCAGGCCGGGCGGGCGCTGCTCCGGTGAGCTGCTGCTTCAAAGCCCAGTGGAGCTGGCTGCCTTTGGGATTCCAAACCTGGTGCTGCCTCCTCATTTTCAAAATGCACCATGAAGTGGTTAGAGAAGAGAGGAGCTGTCACTGGAGAAAGCCTAGAAAATAAAATCTAGGTTTCTGTTTCTCTGAGACCCCTCCATGTCTGATGCCTTGGGAATAAACGTTTTAAAATGGTCCAAAGTGTATTGTATCATCTCACCAGTGGATTGTCTACTTTCACGTCATGCTTCACCAAAATTGAAAAGCATTAAGAAAACTAAGTTCTTTGAGCTAAAACTTTTAAGCTAGCAGGGACTTAACATGTAATTCCAGTCCAACAGACATTTATTGAACATCTGTTGTCAGATGTAGGCATCTTTTTAAAAGCAAGTACCTCTGTTTCAGGTTTATTTCTAAACCATTTCCTCTCCTCAGGGATGAGGAAGACTTTCTGAAAGCTTTCTGAAGTTATACTGTACATAGGTATGGTATTCCTTTCGGATGGGGCGTAGTCACTAATGTCTGCGGTTTGTTCCCTCGGAAGAAAGAACCGGCTGCCCTCCCTCCCGGAGCACCCGGCCCCCCAGGCCTTTGCCTCGCCCGGGCTCCGCCGGCCTCCTCTGCTTCCGTACCTCGTTCCCTGAGCCCACCCAGCCCAGCCGGCCCCCTTCCCCGGCCTCTGTAACGTGCTGAATAAACTTCCTCTTCGAGTTTGAAAAGAGAAAAGGGACCCAACCCAAGGTATTTTAGCAAACACAGTGCTACCCGTGCGTTTCTTTACCCTGCAGGCCAGCAACACCTGCCTGGATGTGATCGGTGGCCGGGACACGCCGGGAGCCAGGGTAGCCCTGTGGGCCGAACACGGGCAACTGAGGCAGAAGTGGAGGCTGAACAAAGATGGCACCATCAGCTCCTGTCTCGGCGACCAGCTGGTCCTCGATGTGCGAGGTGGGCGTGCTGCAGGGTCCCATTTTAAGTTAAACCTCTTCCCTCTCCTGGTAAAGAAAGTCACTATGTGTAAGAGAGAGATTAAGTCATTTTAAATTATGTCTGGAAAAAGTTAAGATGTGCTGTTTTAACAAACAAAACACTTAGCCACGTGGGTCAAGCCGGAAAAGCCTGACCCTGCCTGAGGCTCCTGCTCATTAACCAGCCGTAAAACTCACACTTGTCGGGCTGGGATCTTTGAGAACATTTTTACATTTGAATATCAAACCATAAAATATGATGTTTCTTTGAAAGAAACATCTCTGACTTTTTGCTATAAATTGCTCTAGTCCTTAAGAGCCCTCACTGAAACTGTGGGGAGTGTATAACCTTGTGTTTTCCTCCAGCAAGGCCGGGGGGAGGGCCAGGGCTGCGGTGAGGCGGGTCAGCTGGGACGGCCGCGGCCAGGGCCTGGCTCAGCCGGAGCCTCAGCACCTGGCTCTCGGGCGCCTGTCCTCGCCGGCCGGCCGCGGCGCTCGTGATGAGGTGAAGAACAGCTCAGCCTGTGAACTCAGTTTCCCGTTTCAGCCGCTTGGTAACGACATGCCAATCGACCCAAACCATGGGCTGGACAGTAGCTGGTGGACACGGCTGAGCACCCGTGTGAAGAAATAATCTTTTCTTTTGGAATTTCTGTTCTAGGAGGAAATTATTTTGACAAGACCCACGTCGTTGTGAACCAGCCCCTGGAGGGAGAGGAAACACAGAAATGGGACATTGAAGTCCTGTGAGCCTCGGCAGCATCCCCACGAAGAGCAGAGGGGGGCCGGGCCACCCGCCTCCCGGGAGGAGGCTCCTGGGTCCGGAGCAGCGCTTTCCTGAAGCTCCAGCGCCCACGGTGCTCCCCACGGGCGCTCAGCGTCTTCGGCCCACTGCCCGCGCTCCTGTGAGGAGCGGGTCATGGTTTCTGGGGAAGGTTCTAGTCCTGCTTCCTCTCCAGCCTGGGTGAGCGAGTCCGAGAAGCCTGTGCTTGCTCCCGTCCACCAGATCCGCTCCCGTTCCTGACAGCATCCTTAGGCCTGGCACATCCTAGTTATTCACATCCTAGAACGTGCGTGGATGAGTGCATGGCGCGGGGAAGTCAATTCCTATAGGTCGTGGATAATTTTTAGCAATATTTGAAGAATAGTTAATAAACCTATTAAGCTGCTTTATTAATAGCGAAACCTTAAAGGTTTTCTGTTGAGGCTTTTATAACTGAAGCACCGTAAGTATTCATACTTGTAACTGACCCCAGGGAGGAACCTGAACTTTATTAGGAAAAGAACTCAAATATGGAGCATTGTCTGTGGCCATCCTTTGCTCAGGCCTTCAGACTTAAAAAGCACAAATCGCCTGGCCATCCTTGCACTCTCAGTATTTAAAAAGACACCCTCTGAGGGGCCACAGGCCTCTCACAGTGTTTCCTGTCCCGGCCTGAGTCCTCGCCCTCGGTGTTGCCTGATCTGCCCTCAAGAAGGGTTTATTAAAATTGTTTCATCTCCATATAAGACAGTCAGGTATGTATTTGCCTGATAAAGGGAAGTTTCACATGTTCAAATTAAAACCAAGTAGTATTTGAGACTTGACTATACCGTTTTACTGTAAGTAAAAGTGGAGTGGATTTTTCTACGAAATAGAAAACTCATTGTTCCACTCCCATTTTAAATAGCTTCTGTTTTAACAGAATCAGATAGGATCGCATCACCTTGGGCTTAGTTTCAAGCAATCATTGCCACTTTTAGCCACACAGTGCAGAGGCATTTTCCTTCCTGAGCTGGTTTTAAACTATAGTTGGAGATAACTGTTCCCTTTATCCCCAACTTTTTCCAGAAAGCAGAAAAATGTCCTATTTTTTACATAGATTCAGTTCTCCAGTGGTATTTTTTAAAATATCAATCTATATGCACTTTAGGATGTAAAATAACAGTGAATTGTTTAAACACAGAGACCCACTATTTTGAGAACTTTTCAGACGTGGTCTTTCCATGTAGATATCATTGGGGTTTTTCCTTTCATCTCAGGCTCTTCTGTCATCTTTCAAAACTCTATAGAACTCGCTCCCGCCCACAGACATGAGTGCCTCATTAGTGTGGCAGCATTATTTAATGAAAAACTCATAGGGGTAACTTTATTTTAAACGGGGGCTTGTGTATACAAAAGATATGTATATTGTCATTGTAAAAAAAAAGTTAAATTTTTTTCCTTCGTGTTAATTGCTTAACATTTTTCCAGAGCCAATGAGGCTCTTTAAAGAATTTCTTCCAAAGAACAGAGACAAAGCCAGGTAACGACGTTTAAGTGTAAATGATACGTTTATTGTCGTTGTGCCTTTCCTACCACACTGGATTAAATAAACTTGTCAAAAGCATGGTTCTGCCACTTTCTAGGACGCTCAGCACCGTGCCATTCGTCCTTTAATGCACATGGACACTGTAACGCGCGGGTCTCCGGTTACTAGGACACACGTAGTCCAGTTGTATGTAACCATCCCTCCAGCCCCGTCTGATACTCAGAGCAGCCGGGGCCCCAGCAGGTGAATGTCTGCTTTCCTGTGTCCATGAAGTCCGGACTCTGTGCGAGCGGAGCTAGACCACCTGGAGTAAACATTCCGTCCAGAGAGACAAGGCCAGGCTCTCCTTTTCCTCGTCGGTAGCGAGTTTCAGGTCCTTGACAGCGATCGCTGAGCTGTTCCAAATTTGCTTCAGAGCATCCACGTGGGAGAGAGGAAAGCGGAGTCCGTGCGCCTGAAAAGGATAAGCCAGTCCCATAATGCACCACTTCGCCTCTGCAGCGGCACTTTCTATAAACTTCCAAAACCCCCCGTGCGGCATTATTTTTACGCCCTCCATAAGTATGAAACTTGTTTCAGATGGGCTAGGCCCGTGGTCGGCAAACTCATTAGTCAACAGAGCCAAACATCAACAGTACAACAATTGAAATTTCTTTTGAGAGCCAAATTCTTTAAACTTAAACTTCTTCTAACGCCACTTCTTCAAAATAGATTCGCCCAGGCCGTGGTATTTTGTGGAAGAGCCGCAGTTTGCCGACCACAAGGCTAGGCTATTCACAGACTAGAATCAGATAACTTACAGAATTTGCCAGTTCCCATATGAAAACTCAGACTTCATGACAGACATCCTAACATAAATGCTCCGCATGACATTACACCTCTCCTGCACGCCCCAGAACCATGTGACTCGCAAGGGCTGTCGGGTGTTTGGAACGCTAAGCCCGTACCGCAGTCATAACAAAGCAGGTTCCCCATAAATCAGAGGGAACACCCTTCCCGACCGTAGGAAAAGCATCCCCTTGAGGTTGGAACAAACCTCTGTTTCCTCGTTCCCCATCATGTGCGTCTCCCTCCTGTTCTGTAAGGAATGGTAGATGTAAACCATCTTTTCTTGAGTTTCATCCTTTAAAAAGAAAAACTTTAAGTCCTCAACAGAATTTAGAGGGTTTCATTAGTAGGAGGGTTTTCCAATAACATGGATCAACAACCAAGAAAAATCTTAAAACCTCGATGCTTGAGTGAAATTTATTGACTAAAGAATCCTTTTGGCAAAATGTCGTGATATACAGTGTGTGCACCTATTACCTCATAATAGTCCTCACCGATTACTATTTGTTCGTAACAAATAGCAGATAAAAACAGTACACCTACTAGAGCATCTTCAGAAACTTATATTTCATGAAAAAAGTCACCATTTACATAGCAACCTAATGAAACACTCAAGTTTCTTCAGTTAATCACACCTTCACTTTTTTTGCATCAAAATTTGACATGAAAATTACGGAGTGAATAATGCCAGCTGTGTGAAGTATAAAACTTCCGTTCCGATTACAGCGGCCTCCCCAGAGGTCTCTACATCCCTCCCACGCAGTGCGGGCAGCTCACTGACTCTGCCAGGGCCTGTCGTTCCCGGTCCCCTCTGAGATAAGGCTCAGACACCCGGGCTGGCAGAGAATGCCCCAGGCTGATGGGTTAGCAGAGTGACGGCGTTTTTTTCAGTGAAGATGTGTACTTTTGAGGTTTTGTGTCCCTTAGAAACCAGCCTCTCCAGGCCTGGCCCTGACGGCTGGAGCATGGGGTCTGTTCATGGAGACAGCTAGGTGCCCCGTCCCTCCGATCACCCCGGGGCGCCTCCCGAGAAAGCGGACTGGGAGGGGCCAGACAGCTGCAAAGGTCTCCGGGCGGCAGGGGAGCTGTAACAAGTGCAGGGGGTCCAACCCGGACCAGCTGGAGCCCAGGAATTCATGGTCTCAAACTTTTCCAGCTGATTCTGTGACCAGCCAGTTTGGGGAGCTACTGGGTCACGTATGGAAAGCAGAATGCCTTTCTATAGGATAGAGATTTTTTAAAGAAGAAACATCAACAAAACTATGTAAAGACAGTCCTGCAGTTTACAGGATGGAAGAGGGACTGAGGGAGGGAGACGCATGGACAGGGTCCACAGTCGTCTGCGCAACATGGCCTGAAACCCAACAGGGGACAGAGCCCAGCATGAATCACTGTGTGAGCGGAATAAAAGGCTTCTGTGGGCCTGGCCATGGTGCTCGGTGGTTGAGCACCAACCCGTGAACCAGGAGGTCATGGTTCCATTCCCAGTCGGGGCACATGCCCAGATTTCAAGCTCAGTTCCCCAGCAGGGGGGCGTGCAGGAGGCAACCAAGTGATGATTCTCATTGGTATTTCTATCTTGCTCTCCCTCTCCCTTCCTCTCCCTGAAATCAATTTTTTTTTTTTAAGGATTCTGTGGGAGATGAGGGCAAGCAAGCCCTCATGCCCACCAGGAAGGGAGATGTGGAACAGTGAGGTTTGGCACCATCCGCCCTAAAGCAATGGCAGGCGCTGAGCTGTGAGAGCAGAGGGAGGGCGTGGCCGCCTGTTAGTCTGATGGACAAGCCCCGAGGACGGAAACCTCCCCCTCCGGATACTCACAGACCCACCCTGATCCGGCATCACCGTGAGGACCATGTGGTCTTTGTGGCGCAGCCTCACGATGCTGTCCAACCTCGGCAACTGTCCACCTGAGAGAATCCAGACAGAAAGGCAGTTTTCAAAAGTGGGTCCAGCAGGATCCAACTAGTCTGCAGGTGAAACGGTGTAAGGAACACATTTACTGACAACGTGCAGTGAGTCCAACCCGGGCATTTACTTCTTCCCCTGACGTTTGTAGTGATGCTATAGCTGACATCCTCATGGAGCCTGTGCTCACAGTGAAGACAGACATACGATGAGTCGGTAATACATTAGACAGACAGACAGTGGAGACGGGCCCTGCCCTTCTGCTCAGAGCTCTCCGTCTCGTTTATCTTTTGCTGCTTATTCTACACGTGGATGCCAGGAGGAGCGCCTGCATTCAGACTGCACCACCCCATCCATTACTAGTTGCGTGACTGTGGCACATAGTCTGTAAAAGCCACCTTCGTAAGGTTCACAGGAAAAAAACAATTTTCAAATTGGATTTAACTTAGTGAAAAGGCAGCCACCACAGACAGACTGGCCTGAAGGGCCCTCTTCCCTGGTATGGGATCACAGCTTCACTGACTATAGCGGCTGCGACAAGGAAAACTAGAACAATATTCTGGCCGTTTTCTGAAACTCGGGAAGCTCTGAAGACAGAATCAGTGTTAGAAGGGATTGTTTATGCCAGTGGTTCTCAACTGGTGGTTAACACAGCTTCTATAAAAATTGGTAGAAATACTGCTCTCACCAGCCCCACTGAGGGAGAGGGAAGCCCAGCCCCCGCCTGGCCACGCCTCGCTGTTCCCCAGAGGCCATGTGACACAAGGCCGCGCTGACTGAGGTCAAGACGAACAGGACCGCTGCAAAACGTGTCAGGACTCGGGCAAAAGAACATCGTCCACACGGCCAAGTGACCAGACAGCTCCCGTCCTGGCTAACGGGGCCGCTGCCGCCTTCCCGGTCACATCAGTCCTCCTGCTTTGGGGTGAGATGTCCGAGACCCACTCCCAGGACCCCCGACGGACTTCCCGGCGCACCGAACCAGAGCAGAGCCCTGCTACGGAGATGCCCGGGGGCCCCCCGTCGTGTGCGCGGGCCGCTGTGCTGCCCCCTGTGCCCGGCCACAGGAGTTGGCGTTGCTGGTCTTTGCTACGGAGCATGGACGTCACTACCATTTGCAGCCTAAACCTGTCACAAAATAGTCCCCTGGGACCTGGGGGAGGTCGGTGACCTCGGGCACCCTCACATTCCACCTGCCGAGGGCTCGTTTCTACCCTGAGCTCATTCCAAGGAGAATGGCTCCATGTCCAAGTCCTTGGCGCCTTACCTGAGGGCCAGTGCACACACATCTCTACCCAAAGTCAGCTCATTCCCCACCTGCTGGGCCCGAGGCTGTGCGTGCGACCTGTGAGGCAGGCGAAGCTCAGGCCTGTGCGCAGCATGTGTTATCCACACGCACTGGGACAGGCCCAGCTCCGTGGTCATTATAACGCGCTCCCCTTCGGCCCTGCTCAGAGGCCCGCCCGCTCGGGAAAGCCTCCGAACGCCACGTCAGCCCGACCGCCAGGAGGCGGCGAGCTCACCCGGCGTGCACAGCGCCGCTCCGTCTCCCCCGTGGAAGGGGGGGAGTCTGCTCATGGCGAAGTCCTTCTTCATGTCCGAGGAGAGCGGCTGGTGGGTGCCTTCCAGGCGGTCTGCCAGCGTCCGCAGAAAGCCGCTCAGCCGCCTCCTCGCGTCGGCTGTGGCTTCCACCTGCTGGAAACAGAAGCGTCCTGGCCCGGAACCCAGCAGAACCGGGGCCCCGGGCCCGGGCTCCCGAGCCGCCCCGGGTGTGGACCCATCGGTGTCACCCCCAGAGAGGGGGACTGAGGAGACCGGAGCCCTGGGAACAACGTCCCATCATTTCCACAGAACCACTGCTCCTCGGAACTGCCTACCATGTGCACACGCAGACAAAAATCCATTTTCAGGATTTTGCCTGAAAGGGATCCTGGAAATGCAGTCTCTGCTCTTGCCTCTCGAAAAGCAAATCACTACCCTAAGGTGACTGCCTCAGACAGCGAAAGCACCTTGGCCCAATTCAGCACTAATTCACGCATCTCCTCAAACCAGCCAACCAGGGCTGCTTTTCCGACGTAAACCCAGGACAGACGGACAAGTGAGCCAGGGAAGCAGCTAGGCCGGGCTCCCCGGGGCTCCTCCATGCAGAAATCTCTCGTGTGCGGCCCCTGCAGTCCTGGCCCCGGTCCGCCCACAGGGCACAGAGCGGCTGTTGGCACAGCTCCGGGGGCTCCCGCTCACAGGCCGAGCAGCACTCCTGTGCGTCCCCAAACCACCCAGCTCCGCGGGGCCAGCACGGGAGGGACACTGGCTCATGGGAGAAGGGCCTGGGATGTGGGCCACGCTGTGAGCCCGCTCCCTTCCCACCTGCTCGCTCCTTACCAGGAGCAGCTGCCGGGGAATGCCGGCCCGGAACTCCACATCTTCCTCTGCGGCATCAAACACGAGCCCCGAGACGGCGTCCAAAAGGAAATCTCCCCACGAACTGGAGCGCACACCACCACCACCAAAACCAGCAACAAAACACAGAAACCACTGGTTACTGTAGCCAGACACCACCCGCGGCAGCTTCCCCACAGTCCACTCCATGCCAGGCCGTCTGCGTGACTCCGCCCCTCCCAGGCTCCCAGGCAGTCAGAGGCGGGAAGCGAGGCTGGATTCCTGCTTTCCCTTTAGAGACCAGAGAATTAAACATACACTGTCATGAAGTAGAAAGTTCAAGAGACCCATTTTTTTTTAAATATACTTTATTGATTTTTTACAGAGAGGAGGAGAGAGGGATAGAGAGCTAGAAACATCGACCAGCTGCCTCCTGCACGCCCCCCACCGGGGATGTGCCCACAACCAAGGTACATGCCCTTGACTGGAATCGAACCCGGGACCTTTCAGTCCGCAGACCGACGCTCTACCACTGAGCCACACCGGCTTCGGCAGGGACCCATTTCTTTAATGCTTTTAACTGTAACAAGTGTTTATGAGGAGAGCTTTGTGGGAAATTTTAACAATCATCATAGGACCAAAAAAGTTTTATGTGCAAAAAGTCTAAAAGCAATACATTTAGGGTCACAGCAAGATCCCCGGACTGTGTAATTATCTGCAGTTACACGTTAGCTTTTCCTTCGCCCCTTGTAAAAGAGTAAAATAGCCGTCACCATCAATTTCCAACAAACCGATCTTGCAGCTTGCTAACCTCTAGCAGGGGCTTTCCCGGGGAGGGGGTGGGAGCCAGTGGCCAGAAATAGCATCTGGAGAGGCGATTCGTGTTTGTTACCTTTGCTCTTGGGGGAGGGGGGGGCGTTTAGAATCGGCTCGCCCCTAAGACAGCCCCCTGGGAGAAGCCACTGCCGGGCACTCTCTCTGAACATCTCCTAGCTGCTTAAACTTCCCTCTGTGCCGCCAGCGGACGAGCTGTGCGTGCGGAACGGGACCTCACAGTATGACTGGCTTCTCCCTCAGTGACAGCATTAACGCATGTTACGCCCCTCCCAGACAGGTGGCAGAGGACAAACGCCACAGGAGAGCACGTCCCCAAGACATCCACGACCACCGGGTGGCCGCCCGCTCTGCGACCTAATGTCCCCCCAACCTCAGACCATCCCGCAGCACAGAGCAAGCTCCGCCTCGCGGGTCCCAGGGCGGCCGGAGGAGCCGAGCTGCGCCAGGCAGCTGCGCGCGCTCCGCGTCAGAGTGGGTCCCGGGCCTCCCTCGGAAGGAGCTGGCTTTATAAAACAGCCAAGCCACCCGCTGCTGCCCCACCGCAGGCCTGTGCTCCACAAAGCCACCTGGAGAGGGGCTGGGAACAGGCCCAGCGCCCGCCTGCGGAGACCCAGAGGGTCCCATGGTAACAGTTTCTGTTTGGGGGGATGAAAATGCTTGGGAACCAGATAGTGGTGATGGTTGCAAAACAGTGTGAGTGTCACTGATGTCACTGACTGTACACTTAAAAATAGCTAAGCCCTGGTAGGCCGCCCAATTGGTTGGAGTGTTGTTCTGGACACCAAAAGGTTACGGATTCAATTCCTGGTCAACGCACACACCCTGGTTGTGGGTTCAATTCCCGGTCAGCTCAGGCAACCTAACCATTTTTCTCTTTCAGATCAATGTTTCTCTCTTTTTTTTCTCTCTCTCTCTAAAATCAAGGGGGAGGCAAAAGTAGGTTTACAACTATTCATATGGAAAGATATGCAGATTATGATTATTACAACAGCTATCTTATTATTATAATAGTGTACTCACAATTGTACACCTACTTTTATCCACCCTGTATGTATTTACCACCATAAAATACTTTACAGAGAGACAGACACACACACACACACACACACACGCACTCGAAGCCTGACTCACTGCCGCAGCCGTGCCTGCAGCCATGGATCCTCCTTCCCAAACTACGGGAAACTCCCAGGGTCATCCAGCCGGGTCCATGACACCCTCCGGAGGAAGCACGGACCGGACGCTGAGGACTATGAAGTCAGCCAAGGAGCCTGAGCACCCCTCCCCACCGCCATCCCCACCCCCATTGGTGCGGGTGGGGGCCCTCCCTCCTGTCCTGAAGGCAGGGTCTCACCTGCTCTGGTAGGTGCTGATGGTCAGGTGAGTGGAGTGGGCCAGCCCCGGCGGCGTGTCCGCCTGGTGGATGGTCCCTCGGGGAAAGTACAGCAAATCGCCAGCCTGAAGGAGGGAAGGAGGAAGGGGACGAGTTAGCAAGGACAGCTTCTCCGTCCTCTGTGTTTGACGGAGACAAACGCAGGCAGAGTTTCCGTCCTCCCGGTGCAGGGCTCCTGGGGCCTGTGGACTGAGCCCTCTGGTCTGGGAGTGTCATGCGACCCAGTCCTGCGAGGCTGTCAGGACCTGGATCGCTTTCTCCATTCACAACGAAGACCAGCCAAGCCCGAGACTCCGCCGCCCAGGCCCGGGGCCTGGGAAGTGCTCCCTCTCCACCCCGCGACGCTGTGAAGAGTGGGATCTACAGCAGGTTACCCTCCCGAAGCCTCAGTTTCCTCATCTGTGAAATGGAGGCAACAGCCCCAGATCCCACAGGACGGCCTTGAGGATAAAGGGGCTCCCGGGCGGTGATGGGTGGGTGGGCTGATATAACACGGTTTTACCTGCCAGTCCCTGCCCGTCTGCGCGCCCTTCCAGGCCAGCCTATCTCCATCTGTATTCCCAGAACCTAGGCTACCAGGGCACCCAGCACAGTGACAGACCGAGAACTGTTCAAATGAAAGCATGCAACACCCAATAACCCCTCGCCCGAACGGACCTTAGACGGAAGTGAAGATCAGGTCTTCCCGGGGCAGGTGAGCCTCCTCCACCCAGCGTGGCTCTCTCCCAGGCCAGTGACAGAAATGCCCTCCCAAACCCCCTGCCCTGAGCTGCCTCCCACTTCCACCTGAGGAAGGGCACTGCAGCCGCTGCCGAGGGCGAGAGGGCTCTGGAGAGCTGCCTCTCTCCCGTCTGCAGCCGCAGGAAGCAGCTGGCTCACTGGGTACGGGGACCCTCTGGCTCACTGGGTACGGGGACCCTCTGGCTCACTGGGTACGGGGACCCTCTGGCTCACTGGGTACGGGGACCCTCTGGCTCACTGGGTACGGGGACCCTCTGGCTCACTGGGTACGGGGACCCTCTGGCTCACTGGGTACGGGGACCCTCTGGCTCACTGGGTACGGGGACCCTCTGGCTCACTGGGTAGGAGGACCCTCTGGCTCACTGGGTAACGGGACCCTCTGGCTCACTGGGTACGGGGACCCTCTGGCTCACTGGGTAAGGGGACCCTCTGGCTCACTGGGTAGGAGGACCCTCTGGCTCACTGGGTACGGGGACCCTCTGGCTCACTGGGTAGGAGGGCCCTCTGGCTCACTGGGTACGGGGACCCTCTGGCTCACTGGGTAACGGGACCCTCTGGCTCACTGGGTAAGGGGGCCCTCTGGCTCACTGGGTACGGGGACCCTCTGGCTCACTGGGTACGGGGACCCTCTGGCTCACTGGGTACGGGGACCCTCTGGCTCACTGGGTGGAGGACCCTCTGGCTCACTGGGTACGGGGACCCTCTGGCTCACTGGGTATGGGGACCCTCTGGCTCACTGGGTACGGGGACCCTCTGGCTCACTGGGTACGGGGACCCTCTGGCTCACTGGGTAACAGAACCCTCTGGCTCACTGGGTAAGGGGGCCCTCTGGCTCACTGGGTAAGGGGACCCTCTGGCTCACTGGGTAACGGGACCCTCTGGCTCACTGGGTAGGAGGACCCTCTGGCTCACTGGGTACGGGGACCCTCTGGCTCACTGGGTACAAGGACCCTCTGGCTCACTGGGTAAGGGGACCCTCTGGCTCACTGGGTAACGGGACCCTCTGGCTCACTGGGTACGGGGACCCTCTGGCTCACTGGGTAACGGGACCCTCTGGCTCACTGGGTACGGGGACCCTCTGGCTCACTGGGTAGGAGGACCCTCTGGCTCACTGGGTACGGGGACCCTCTGGCTCACTGGGTACGGGGACCCTCTGGCTCACTGGGTGGAGGACCCTCTGGCTCACTGGGTAAGGGGACCCTCTGGCTCACTGGGTACGGGGACCCTCTGGCTCACTGGGTACGGGGACCCTCTGGCTCACTGGGTACGGGGACCCTCTGGCTCACTGGGTAGGAGGACCCTCTGGCTCACTGGGTAACGGGACCCTCTGGCTCACTGGGTACGGGGACCCTCTGGCTCACTGGGTAAGGGGACCCTCTGGCTCACTGGGTAGGAGGACCCTCTGGCTCACTGGGTACGGGGACCCTCTGGCTCACTGGGTAGGAGGGCCCTCTGGCTCACTGGGTACGGGGACCCTCTGGCTCACTGGGTAACGGGACCCTCTGGCTCACTGGGTAAGGGGGCCCTCTGGCTCACTGGGTACGGGGACCCTCTGGCTCACTGGGTACGGGGACCCTCTGGCTCACTGGGTACGGGGACCCTCTGGCTCACTGGGTGGAGGACCCTCTGGCTCACTGGGTACGGGGACCCTCTGGCTCACTGGGTAACGGGACCCTCTGGCTCACTGGGTACGGGGACCCTCTGGCTCACTGGGTAACGGGACCCTCTGGCTCACTGGGTAGGAGGACCCTCTGGCTCACTGGGTACGGGGACCCTCTGGCTCACTGGGTAACGGGACCCTCTGGCTCACTGGGTACGGGGACCCTCTGGCTCACTGGGTACGGGGACCCTCTGGCTCACTGGGTACAAGGACCCTCTGGCTCACTGGGTAAGGGGACCCTCTGGCTCACTGGGTAACGGGACCCTCTGGCTCACTGGGTACGGGGACCCTCTGGCTCACTGGGTAACGGGACCCTCTGGCTCACTGGGTACGGGGACCCTCTGGCTCACTGGGTAGGAGGACCCTCTGGCTCACTGGGTACGGGGACCCTCTGGCTCACTGGGTACGGGGACCCTCTGGCTCACTGGGTGGAGGACCCTCTGGCTCACTGGGTAAGGGGACCCTCTGGCTCACTGGGTACGGGGACCCTCTGGCTCACTGGGTACGGGGACCCTCTGGCTCACTGGGTAAGGGGGCGGACCCTCCGGCTTTCGGAGCAGCACCAGCCAACGAGCCAGGGCACCAAGCGCCTGGCTTCCAGGGGCAGGCGGTTCTCCAAGGGCCACGGTAAGCACTGCTCTGTGGCGGCTGCATGCAGGGGGCTATATGCAGGGCTGGGGAAATGCAGAGAGCCGGAAGCAGTCAGGAGGAGCAGGGCTACAAAGGGGTCCCAAGCTGGCTCTGCCTCAGCCGCCCACATCCAGTGCCATCTCCCCACCCCCGCCCCCACCCCGGTGACCCGGCACAGCTGCCCAAGACCAACCTTCCACTTTTACCCGAGAGAAGTCAGAGGACAGAAAGTCATGACCCATTCCTGCTGGACGTGGACTGTACTTGGCGATTACGTAAGGTCGTTTGGAATTAAACTTAGCCCTTCCTCGGCTCACTCCTGCCGGCGACCGGGTGCCTGGGAAGCCGCGGTGCTGCCCGCACCGGGGACACACTCCCACGGCCGACAGGGACTGCCGGACCTCCACCCGATGGTCCCAGGAGGGGCGCCGCCGCCAAGTCCCTCCGTACCTTCAGCGTGAACTCCAGCGCGGGCCGCCCGAGCCTGTGCTCCGCCTCCAGGCTGTACGCGCGCGCCAGGGCCACGGTGGGGGGGTACAGGCGCCAGTGCTTCTGCCCCTCCAGCTGCAGGATGAACACCTGGGGGGGCCACAGGCCGAGGTCAGAGCTTCCTCCAGGCGGGCGCTCCGAGGGGGCCTCGGAGGAATCGGCGGTTTCAGATAAAAAATAAAAATGAAGACCAGCCCTAACCGGTTTGGCTCCGTGGATAGAGCGTCGGTCTGTGGACTGAAAGGTCCCAGGTTCGATTCCGGTCAAGGGCATGTACGTACCTTGGCTGTGGGCACATCCCCAGTAGGGGGTGTGCAGGAGGCAGCTGACTGATGTTTCTAACTCTCTATTCCTCTCCTTTCCTCTCTGTAAAAAGTCAATAAATAAATAAATGTTTTTTAAATGACTATCGGACACATTTCACTGCATACGTAGGAGCCGTCACCACCGGCTGTAGCTTGCAGGAAGGCTACCATCCTTTTCCCTTTCGAGAAGCCTCGCTGAGTTCTCCACAGCCCACCACAGACCCACCTCGTTCCCTTAACTCTCCGGCCGGCAGCTACAGCCCTGACTCTCCGGGCCAGAGCCAGGCCTCAGCGATGATCCTGAAGACCATCCTTGGCCGGCAGGAAAGCTGTAAGCTTTTTGTTCCTCATTCAGCCAAAGATACCACAATACTCTGTTAAAAACACATTTCTAAAGAACCAAGCACTTTTAGAAGATGCATTGATATCAAATTGCTCTTAAAAGGAGGAGAAATGCCGAAACCGGTTTGGCTCAATGGATAGAGCGTCGGCTTGGGGACTGAAGGGTCCCGGGTTCGATTCCGGTCAAGGGCATGTACCTTGGTTGCGGGCATATCCCCAGTAGGGGGTGTGCAAGAGGCAGCTGATCGATATGACTCTCTCTCATCGATGTTTCTAACTCTCTATCTCTTTCCCTTTCTCTCTGTACAAAATCAATAAAATATATATATTTAATCCTCACCTGAGGATATTTAAATAAAAAAAATAATAAAAAGAGGAGAAATGCCTTTTTACTAATGACTCTGTGTTCACACCTTGAGTTGGTACAAAAATAAAACTACAAAATGCCTAAGCCGGAAAGCTAACTGTCTCTGGCAGCTCCGGGGAGTGAAGCTAACGCCTGCCAAGGCACCAGTTCTTGAGGGAAACCGTGACCTTCACTCCAGCTGCCCCGAGGCTGTCACAAACGGGAAAATGTGTTTCCGGCAGCTTCAGACAAAGGACGACATGGAAGCAGAGGTAAGGTCTGCTTTGTGGCTTCGCCTTAGTAAAGACCAGACACTGTGAGGTTAGAAGGCCAATCACCCTTCCCTGTGGATAAACTCAGCAGGCATGGCCCTCGGGTCCGTGGGCTGGAGACGGCCGGCCCCTCGGAGAGGGGGCAGGAGGGACCGGTTGGGTGGGCGAGGTTCTGGCCCGGCAGCCAGGTGAGGCCAAGGTCCCAGAGACGCACAGGAAGAGTGGACAGAGCCCTGGCCCCGCCCAGCCCCGGGCCCCACAGGCCCCTCCTCTCACCTCGACGTCATCGTAGTGGGGCGGCAGGCCCTGCGAGCCGGCAGGCGTTATGTACACATTCGAGCCAACCAGGGAGCCAAAGTAGCATTCCAGCTTCTCCTGGATCCTCCAGAGTTCATCCTGCAGAAGAGGAAGGAAGCGGAGGGAGAGCCCGTTAGCAGTGAGGCGGGGACGTGCTCTCATTTGCTCACAGTCTGTGCTGAGCGATTAGCTCCAGACACCGAGAACTGAGCAGCAGTGAAAGCGCTGCCCTCCGGGATGTTCTGCGCTGAGACTGACACCGCAGAGAGGGCTGGAGCACAAAACCGGGACTGGCAAGAGGGGCACCCTGGAATGGGGCAGGCCTCGGAGCAGGGAGAGGACGTGATCCATTTACTGTTTGTTTGTTTGTATCTTCACTGTTGAAAGTACAATATTACAAACATCCCCTCCAATGCCTCCCTCCACTCCACTCGCGCAGTTAAACATCCCTCTTCCCCCCGCCTTCCCCCAAGACCGTGGCCACACTATTGTCTGTATCCACGGGTGATGCATATGTGCACATATGTTCTTTCGTTCACCTCTCCCTCTCCCCTCCAGCTTCCCTCTGAGTTGAGTCAGGCTGTTGCATGCCTCCATGTCTTAAAAGCTCACTCTGGCTACCGTGTGGGGAATGGAGAGATCAGTCAGGAAACTGCAAAGGCAGCAGCGGGGTGAGGGGGAGGGAGAAGCGGGAAGGCCAAGGCCGCTGGAAGCAGCACGGCCGGGACCTGCTGGGCTCCTCGGGCTTCTGACCGCACAGTGCATCGGCTCCCTCCCATTCACCGGGCGGAAGACCTGCTAGAGAACAAGTTTCCGAAGGGGACAGAGCATTCTCTCTTAGACGTGTTGGTTTGAGCTGCTAGAACCCCCAGGGGGAGATGGCTTTAAGTGAGCTCCTGGCTCTTCGTCTCGAAGTTCTGGCAAGAAGTAAGGATGGAGACTTGCATGTGGGAATTCCCCACATAAAATTAGTTATGTGACGGAATGGGAGAAGAAATGACAACCTAGAAAATGACACAGATGGAGGAGGGGGGAAGGGGCCGAGTACATTCCCTCTCTCCAGGCGCTAATCCACTCTCCGGGGTTTAAGCCAGATGGAGGGGCCGAGAGGGGAGCCATAAATGTCCCTGTGAGAGAGAGAAACCAGGCTTTCCCAGGCAGCTGTGAAGAGGGAGGGAGGACTGAGGCCACACGGACACCCGCACGCTCTGCAGCCTCGACGTAGGCAGGTGCAGCCGAGAAGGGAGGGACTTCAAGAAGGGCATGACCACCTGGATGCTACTCCGCGTACCTTAAGTCATAAGGAAGGGGCAAACCCAAGAGAAAGGTCTGCCTTACCCCAGGACAAAACCAGCCCACAGAACTTTTAAAACGAGCAACATAATTCAGATTTTGCAGCTCTGTGACACCCAACCACGTCCACCCTGCAGGTTGGACATTTTCTAACAATTCGGTCAAAAGACAGCACAGATGCTGAAACCGGTGTGGCTCAGTGGATAGAGCATCAGCCTGCGGGCTGAAAGGTCCCTGGTTCTATTCCAGTCAAGGGCATGTACCTTGGTTGCGGGCACATCCCCAGTAAGGGGCGTGCATGAGGCAGCTGATCGATGTTTCCCTCTCATCGATGTTTCTGACTCTCTATCCCTCTCCCTTCCTCTCTGCAAAAAAAACAATTAAATATATAAATTTATACAAAAATAAACAAGGTCGCACAGAATCTCCTCGTCGGAGAGGCATCTGAAGACCCCACAGGTGCTGCCCCTTCGCAGGCTGGAGGCGGCGAGTCACCGCCAGACCACAGGCTCGGCCCCGCGCTGCTCTGCGGCCGCACGTTCGCCCTCCAACCGCGGGGACTCTGCGGGGGGAGAGCCCGTTACCTTAAACCGCTGGGGCTGGTGCAGCTGAATCGTCGCCCTTTTCTGATCAAAGTCTCTCCTCAGCTGGAGGAAGTGCACCTTGCCCTCCTTATTCAACACCTTCTTCCTCCCGTGGACGCAGCGGCAGACGTTCACATCCCGGCCGTAGGCCAGGCCCCGGCCGCACAGCCCCTTCAGGTCCGTCAGCCTGAACAGGGCCTGGTAATACGCGGCCAGTGCAGAGTCCTCCCTCTGGATGAGCAGGGGCTTCTGCTCCCAGAACTCCTTGAAAAAGGTCTCTGTCTTGATGGGCGAGATTAGACTTTCAAAGAACCCACCGGGGCTGTCGAAGTTCAGCGGGCAGGGCCCCCCAGCCGCCTCCCGCTTCGGCCGTTTGCAGGGCGCGGGCCCCCCCTCCTGCCCGGTCCCCGCGGGCTCTGCTTTCTTCGGCATCGTCCGTCCTCCCTGCGTCTTCCCGAGCTCGCCGAGCCGCCGGCCTGCGGGGAGAACAGGGCGTGTTGGTGCCCGCGGGTCCCGTCAGCCAGGCCGGCCGCGAGCCGCACAGGCCTGAGGGCCCAGGCCCTTTCCGCAGGATGTGCTGCCGCCTCCGGCCCGCACAGCCCGCCCCCCACGAGGATGCAAACGCCATCACACGTCCCTCTGAGGACAGCGCCGTCCGCGCACACAGCGCCGGGCTGTGGAATCCCAGGGGTTATCAGGAAATGTAATTATTCCGACTCAAAGGACTCCACCATCTCAGCAGCTCCTTATCACAGTGTCAGCCTGTGGCCACGGGCACAGCAACGTCGGAAATCTTCTTAACTTGGCTCCCAGCAGCACCAGGTCCCAAATCTAATGAGGTGCTCTGTGAGTTACCGACACTGGGCTGGAGAGGGCCCCTCCGGGCGCTCCTCACCGGGCGCCACCCCCGACTGCCCTCCGGGGCGGCCACTGCCCGTCCCCCACGGCCTGGCTGCTGGTGCCAGCTGGTGGCCGGAGCAAGAAGCAGCCTGCGCCCAAGTCTTCCTCAACCACGTGAAACGCCCACTTCCAACTCTCAGCTCGTGCCCGAAAAGTGCCACTTTATCAGAAACCTCTTCCCCATTAAAAAATAAAAAATAATAAATTTAAAAGAAAAAATAGAAGCTGAAAAGTGAAGGCTGAAGATAGTTATAGCCGAGCCTTTAAAAAGCTGTAACTTAAACATAACAAATACCCACATGATAGCCCTCTAGCCCAGCATTGCCCCATCCGATGTGCACCCACCCCTGGCGTCAGGTCGGACGGAGGGCTGGGCTGCCCCCCACCGCTCCCAGGCAGGGTGCTGCGGGCCAGACCACCCCGCAGGGCAGGAGCAGCACAAGCACTGCCAGGCCTCTCGGAACTGCCCCCACGCCACCGCCACGGTTAGCCAGCAGGTGTCCTTCACCAGGGGTTCGAGAATGGTAACTCAAATTGTATGAATTTCCTGGAACTGCAAATTTCTATTTAAACATTTTCCCCCCTAGGAGGCAGTGGTCAGTCCGTTGCTTTCACTGGTTCTTAAAGGAGTCTCTGACCCAAAAAAGATTATAAAAATCTGCACTTACAGCCCTAGCCAGTGTTTCTCAGTAGTTAAAGCATCTGCCTGCTCACCGAAGGGTCAAGGGTTCGATTCCTGGGCGCATGCTTGGGTTGTAGGTCCGATCCCCAGCACGAGTTGGAGCACGTGCAGGAGGAAACTAATTGATGTCTCTCATACCAATCTCTCTCTTTCCTCTCTTCCCTCCCTCCCACTCTCTCTAAAAATAATAATAACAATAAATAAAAATAAATGGAAAAAATATCCTTGGATGAGGATTAAGAAAAAGTAAATTTTAAATATCTGCACTTATAAAAACCGATTTTTCCCAGAAACCAGTAACTTATTAATAGATGTTATGGCTTCCTGTTCTGCTGGGCCCGTGGTTGGCAAACTGCGGCTCACAAGCCACATGCGGCTCTTTGGCCCCTTGAGTGTGGCTCTTCCGCAAAATACCATGGCCTCGGCGAGTCTATTTTGAAGAAGTGGCATTAGAAGAAGTTTAAGTTTAAAAAACTTGACTCTCAAAAGAAATTTCAATCGTACTGTTGATACTTGGCTCTGCTAACTAATGAGTTTGCCGACCACTGTGCTGGGCTATCTGAATGGCAAGAGCACTGTTTTCTGCTCCTCTGTCATTATAACTCAGCCGTATTTCAACTGCAATGTGGACTAAGCACAACTAGTGGTCTGGCCTAGGAATAAACCCTGGAATAATCTGTTACATATTGCAACAACTAATGTATTAATAAACCTTTAGAATGCAATCCAAATGTAAACTGAACACAGTAGGAAGTACAACAGTCAAAATACAAAACTCTCTAGTGACCTCATTTTAGCTTCTAAATTTTGTGCCCACAAATAGCTCAGATCAAGCGCTTTTGGTGGGGAAACACGGGATGATGGTGGAAAACTAACAAAAATAGACACTGAAAGCCTGCATGGGAGGGGGAAAGGCTTAAGCTTAGAAAAGAAGTTAGCTTTGGTGTTTTATAATGTGTCATCAAGGAGGCAAAAATTTACTGGGAATGTTTCCTTTTCCTTTCAAGTTTTCCAGACCATTTTGATTTCTCAACCAAAGAATCAAGGCTTCAGTGAAACAAAGTATTCCTAGTAGAATGGCCTCAGACATGAAAAGGGACTAGCAGAGAGCACTGCTGTCCTATGAAAAGCCAGTTTATGGCTGACATCCCGGAGTTTTTATTTAGGAGAGTCCCCACCGCTATTTAAATGTTAACGGTGACTCACTATGGCCCTGGCTGGTTTGGCTCAGTGGGTGGAGCATCGGGTCTCTGGTTTGATGGAGGTCAAGGGCCCAGACCTCCGTCAGGTGCTTTCGGGAGGCAACCAATCAATGTGTCTTTCTCACACCCACGTTTCTCTTTCTCTACCTCATCCCCTCCCTTTCACTCCCTCTCAGAATCAATGGGAAAAAATCAGGTGAGGATTAACAACAACAAAAAAGAGTGACTGACTTAACTGTTTGTGCAAACAATGTGTTTTATACTGAACATCTGCTTTCCTTCTGGGAGTCTAGGGTTATTTATTTATTTATTTATTTATTTATTTATTTATTTTGGTTAATCCTAGCCCGGGGATATTTTCCATTAATTTTTTTTAGAGAGAGTGAAAGGGAGGGGGAGAAACACATTAATTGGGTGCCTCCTGAACTTGCCCCAACCCGGGCTGGAATCGAGCCTGCAACCCAGATACAAGCCCTTAATGGGACTCGAACCTGAGACCCTCAGGCCACAGGGTGGATGCCCTATCTACTGAGCCAAACCAGCTAGGGTGCGAGTCTGGGCGTTTGGGACATATTGCAACAACTAAACTCCCAGGCAAAGGATGCTTAGGTGACTAGCCCCAAATTAACAAAAAAATCCTGGGCACTAAGGAGCTTGCCTGCTTGGCAACGGTGTGGCTGTCACACTAGCTGCCGGAACACTGCGCACTGGATCTCCTGTTGCTATAACCAACCAGCTGTTGGCTCTGTTGACTAATGAGTAGCTGATAATGTAAGCATGTCAGGAGCAGGAAAATGCAATTGAAAGGCTTTTCTTTACGCACAATGTATGGATACAGCTATATAAGCACGTTCCTCAGGAAGTGTGCTTAGACAAAGTGTGCAGAACACTAACGCCAAAAAAATAAACACTTAGGGCATTTTTTCCATCTACAATCACTAACAAACACTAGCACTGCACGCCAAACGCCTTTGTTAGACTATACATCTCACTATTTATACTGCCAAAAGTTACATCACTTATTGTTGCTCTGTGTTCACAATGAAATGATTTGAGGCTCAGTTCATTGGGACCTAACTTAGAAATTACTGGGAAAATACACCATTTCCCTGATTCTCACACTATAAAAATTGCAAAATAACAATTCTTTTTAACAACTTTTGAGAACTGGAGGGGAGAACAGATGACATTCCACACCACCCTGAACATAACAAAAAACTGCAAGATGCATCATAATTTCAGAAATAGCTAAAAAAAAAAAAAAAAAAAAAAAAAAAAAAAAGGCATGTCTTAGGGTCTAAGAGATATAATTAAACAACAAAATGCTTTGTACAGAATAGTACAGCCCACACAAGCCTGCCTATAACCCTCACAGACCACCCAAGCAGAAGTGAGAATCAATATTTGTAAAAAGCTTGGGGGTGGGGGGCAAACTTTTGAAAAACAACTCATACAAATTCTAAATCATTCTTTTGTACACCTAAAATAATATAATGTTCTATGGTAATTATGTTTCAATTAGAAAAGAAAAAGCAATTATACAATTTGAATTTACTATAATCATTGCAATGTAAAATTATTAAATCAAAAGAAACATTTTATTAACTGCCCAAAAATTTTTAAAAAACACACCAACTAATCTAAACGATTCTGAAGGATTAAAACTCTACAGAGCCAAAACTGGTTGGCCTAGTGGATAGAGCGTCGGCCTGTGGACTGAGGGGGTCCCAGGTTCAATTCCGGTCAAGAGCATGTATCTTGGTTGCCGGCACGTCCCCAGTAGGGGGTGTGCAGGAGGCAGTTGATGTTTCTCTCTCATCGATGTTTCTAACTCTCTATCTCTCTCTCTTCCTCTCTGTGAAAAATCAATAAAATATATTTTTAAAATAAATAAATAAATAAATAAATAAAACTCTACAAGAAAATCAATACCCATTCTATAGCCAACAAACATTAACAGAGCCTTTCTAGTGTTACTAGTAAGTGTCCTAACCTTGTCTATGGGAAATGACTGACAAGAAGCCATAATGCAGCTTCATATATTAATATATATATTTGATTTTTTTTTACGGAGAGAGATAGAGAGCTAGAAACATTGATGAGAGAGAAACTAACGTACGTGCCCTTGACAGGAATCCACTGAGCCAAACTGGTTTCGGCAATGCAGCTTCTTTTTATTATATTGTATATATATTTCAGAGGCGAAGGAAGAGGGAGAAAGAGGAGAAACATCAGTGACGAGAGAGAATCATTGATCAGCTACCTCCTAATGGAGCCCGCAACCCAGGCATGTGCCTGCCTGGAGCCAAACCATGACCTCCCTCCGGTTCACCTTGGCCGTGGGCCTTTATAATTTCCCCCGCGCACCCTCTGCGCCACGCCCGGGGCGGTGACAGGCTCCTCCGGGGAGGGGGCCGCCTGCACACCCAGAACGCAGCAGAGGGGCACCCCGAGGCCCCCGAGAAATGGGTGCTGAGTGAACTTGTTCCCCGTTTTCAGCTTTTGTATGTAACTTTAGACAAATATTCCCCAAAGCTTCCCAGAAATAAAGTTCTGTTGTTGGGAGACCAGATGGCCTGTTGGGTGGGGATGATTTTTCCGACGGCAGCCGGCCCTGGGGTGTCCCCGGTGCGGTCCCGGCGGACAGGCGGCCGCGGGGTCCGTCCCGGGCAGCGCGGACCCCAGCGCAGAGCCAGGCGCCCGGAGAGCACCCTCTCGGCCACACCCCGCCCGGGCCCAGCCTCGGGGGGCCGGAGGCCTCCCTGACACAGGGTGCTCCCCGCACCTCAGGCCCGCCCACAGGGAGGGTGGCCGCCAGCAGCTCCCCGCAGCACCCCGGGCCCCGCAGAGACGGGGCGGTGCGGGGCTGCGCAGGCCACAGAGGCGGGGTCCGTTCAGAGGGGGGCTGGCTCCCGGGGACCTGAGCTCCCGGACGGCGCCCTTTCGCGCGCTGTAGCCGTCGCGGGGAGGCCGGCCTGGGGCCAGAGGCGCAGCGCCCCGCGATGGGGGAGGACGCTGCTCCTCCAGGAAGCCCAGGGCCGCCCGCCGGGCGGAGCGGCTCCGTGGGCCTCCGGGCCCTGCTCCCGGGCTGTGCGCCCCGAGCGGCGCCGGGCCCCCCAACCTGTTGGAGCGCCCGGCGCGGGCCGCTGTGCGGGAAACAGCTGGTGCCGAGTGGATGGGCGGGAGGGGAGGCTGCAACCTCACAGGCGGGTGGGCCCGGCCCGGCCTCCCGACCCGCACAGCCGAGCAGTCCGTCCCTGAGGGCGGGCAGCCCACGTGGCGGCCTCAGCGCCCCCGCGCCCTCCGGCCTCCACACGCCCGGCGCTCGGCCCCATCTGCGGCCGCGGGCGAGCACGTGGCTGCCCGGTGCCCAGCCCCGGAGCCCGCCCCGGATCACCGCAGGTCCGCGGGGTGCCCTGCCCCAGCCCCCCGCGCCCGCCGACCGCCCGACCGCACCGAGCCCCTGGGCCGCGCCACGGGGAGGGCCCCTGCCACCCGCCGTCCCGCCGGCCCCGCCGCGGCGCCGCGCCACTACCGGGGCCTGTTGCGCCGGGCGGGGTGGGGCGGGGCGGGCGGCGGGCACGCGCTCCGGGCGCGCGCGGGGGTGGACGCTTCCGGCGCCCCGGGCCCTCGCGGGTCGGTATTCTGCCCCCAGGTTCCTTCCTTGGTGTAGAGGAAATAAATTTGGGTTTTTTCAGCGGCGAGATGAGGCTCTGGGCTTGGAACTACCTTGTTCTCCGGCGACACGGAGGCCGGGAGAGGGGGAGCGAGTTCCCCAAGTTCGGGGAGCTGGGACCCGGGTTCGCCCGTGGCTTTCCCGGGAGCTCCCCCTAAGCCAAGCCGCGCTTTTTTATACCGAGTCAGCCGGGATGTATATCGCTTTGCCGCCAGAGAGAAATAATCCTGGCTTGAAGGATACTGGAAGTGGTCGTTGCTGTGGCCGCAGAAACAGCAAACGCAACTATTGAAGTAATCCGGGCCTGAGGCGCTCCTTGGCCTCTCCTGTGGGAGGGGCGGCCCGAGGGAGTGGGACCCACCTCTGCTCGGCCTGTACCGTCCTTTGCTCTGCAGACGGAGGACCACCCAAAGGAAGCGGTCTCACTGTCAAGATCATTGAGACCTGCGGCTGCTTCTTACTGTCCGGGGACACAGAGCAGACGGGAACAAAGTACGTACCCTTGGCTAACACGTGCTTCAAAGTAAGAGTAACAGGAAGCCCTGAGCTGAGGCCTCCCTTTCTGGGCGGCCCAGTGCACTGGTGTTTCACAGGCTCCTCACTTCCTCCTCGCCGGCCTGTGGGCACCTCCGTGTACAGCTGAGGAGACCGAGTCCGCAGAGGGTCCCTCACTGCTCAAGGTCACACAGGCAGGAAGGAGGAGAAACAAGACTGGAGCCAAACCAGCCAGGCATCTCTTTCTCACTGTGTTCTACCTCCCTCTGTAACCCACATGCTCCCTGTTAGATTCCAGTCAGGGAAACGCAGAATTCGTTTAGCCCTTTACAATGGGGACATCTCCCTGGCCAGTTGGCTCAGTGGATAGAGCATTAGCCTGCAGACAGAAGGGTCCCAGGTTTGATTCCGGTCAAAGGCACATGCCCGGGTTGTGGGCTCAATCCTCAATGTGGGGAATGCAAGAGGCAGTCGATCAATGATTGTCATCATTGATGTTTCTATCTCTCCCTTCCTCTCTGAAATCAATAAAAATATATTTGAATAAATAAAATGGGGGACATCTGTAATACTGTCAAGAATGTTTTAAAAATAGCCCTTTAAGAAAAAACTACAAAAAAATAAAGTAAGGTAAAACCACCTCTAATCTCCTTGACATGATATATTGGTAATATACTTTTTGCTCTTCATTTTTGAAATATGGTAGCAATCATATATGGGTAAAAACTGCTGTTTGAATTTTAACCTTGCTATCTGACTTCGACCTTCGATTACTTGCTTGAACAATAGGGTAGTTGCAGGAGATTGACTCCCACTGACTAAGTAGCTTCAGGGGTAGAAACTGTAGATACCTTTAGTTCTGCTTTTGTATTATGGGCAAGATAGGGCCACATTCCAATGTCCAGCAGGGTGTGACTGGGAACCAGTCTTTAGAATTTAGTCTTTAGGATTTAGGAACAGATATGTACAGCCAGTTCTTTGTCCTGAGGGGCCAATCAGGGTTAGCCGAGGCAGTGACATCACCACCGAACTGAGTAAAACCCCTGGACTGGGCGAAATTCGCTCTCTTCCGCCATGCTGCCGGCGTGAGTGAGACAGCCCATGCTAGCATGGAAAAGGCTCTTTTGTTTATTGCATCGGACTCGGCTCTCTGGTGGTCCTTGGGGATCATGAATTCGTCTGGAATCCCCAGCCAGGACCATAAGGGACCCCAATTCGGAGAGCCTGACTGGCCGCGGTAGGTGTGTGTTTGTCTGTGTTTTTGTGTGAGCGCTCTGGGGGGACTGCCCCTCCATCGGGGTTCTCACCTGGGTGTTTGCTGGCTGCTGTGTCAGCCAAGGTTTGAGCCTGGATTCGAATCTGTAATAAATTCTAGCATGCTTAATCAAATTGGCTCCGGTGGTCCATCTCTTGGGGACTCGCTACGTAACAATTTTTACTATAAATTTCTACTCAAGATGATAATATACAACAGTATTGATGTTATAGGAATTCAGAAAATGGTGAACTCTCACACATGTCCTTTACATGGGAAAGCAGTATTCTGTGTCTACCATGAAGAGAAGTCCCAGAAAACCATGTGCCAGCACATCAAATCCCGGGATGTCCAACAGAATGAGTACGCACTGAAGTCAGCTCTGCAAGGGAAAAGCATCTATCTCACAGAGGAGTTCCCCTGGGGCAAAATTAGTCTTTCAACGTGTTCTCTGCAATATTTTCATTATAATCCAGATGTCTTAGCATAACAAGCAAAAACGTCATTGTCCTGGCCCTAACCGGGTTGGCCCAGTGGATAGAGCATCAGTCTGTGGACTGAAAGGTCCCAGGTTTGATTCTGGTCAAAGGCAAGTACCTCTGTTGCAGGGACATTCCCAGTGGGGAGCGGGGTGTGTGCAGGAGGCAGCTGCTCTTTGTTTCTCTCATCCATCGTCCAGTCCCCAACTTATTTATTCCAAAGAGTCATCAAAAAGTCAGTCATGCCGAAACCGGTTTGGCTCAGTGGATAGAGCGTCCGTCTGCGGACTGAAGGGTCCCAGGTTTGATTCCGGTCAAGGGCATGTACCTTGGTTGCGGGCACATCCCCAGTAGGGGGTGTGCAAGAGGCAGCTGGTCGATGTTTCTCTCTCATCGATGTTTCTAACTCTCTATCCCTCTCTCTTCCTCTCTGTAAAAAAATCAATAAAATATACAGGTATTTTTTTTAAAAAAAAGTCAGTCATTTTGTTTCTATAAATTTTTCTCACAAAAACAGTATCACTGCTGTGCCCTGGCCTAGGTGGGGGCTCAGTCTCCCTGAGGAACTGGCCACGGCCCCTCAGCAGGTGGGTGAACCTCAGCAGGTACAACCTCCCCTCGGGGTGCACTGACACACGGGGCTCACCCTGGGAGTTTAATGCTGTGCGGCCACCTCTTTGAAGTTCTTAATCATGTAACCTCTGGTTTGGTTTTGTAAGTAAAGTGTGTTGGAACAAGGGAGTATGCATTGGGGCTTGCTACATGCAGTTCTGCTTCCTGCCGGATGGGATGGGATCTGTACCCCCACCCCATGCCCCGCCCACAGCCCCGCCCTTGCCCACAGCGGCAGGGCCTGTGCACAGATGCAGGAGGACGGGATGGCACACCCCCCACCGTGTTTCTCTGCCCTGCACTGGCAGTGCCACGGTGTGCGTGGAGGGTGAACTGGAGCAAGCCTCCTTTCACAGTGACTCACCCATCATTCCATGTAAATATGACCTCATCCAAGATACAACCTAATTAACACAACATGTGTTAAGTTATTTTGGGATGGTGTGATTGTTCTAAAAATGCCTTTGATCTGTGGGTTTATGTTTATAACACTTCTTTAAAGTGTGAAGCCCTTGAAACATCAACATTAATATTCTCTGAAAAAGTAAACTAAGCCCTAACCGGTTTGGCTCAGTGGATAGAGCGTCAGCCTGCAGACTGAAAGGTCCCAGGTTCGGTTCTGGTCAAGGGCATGTACCTTGGTTGCGGGCACATCCCTGGTGAGGAGTGTGCAGAAGGCAGCTGATCAATGTTTCTCTCTCATCTATGTTTCTGACTCTATATTCTCTCCCTTCCTCTCTGTTAAAAAAAAAAAATCAATAAAACATTTTTTTTTTTAAGTAAAATAAATGAATGTGCATGCAAGCACTTCCTTTCTCAGGATGCCTAGTTCAGTTAGCTCGTCGTTTGGGGAAGATTGGTACCCATATGTCACTTTTTTCTTTTCTTTTTTTGTTTGTTTCTTTTTTCATTGATTTTTAGGGAAAGTGGAAGAGAGAGAGAAAGACAGAAAAAGAAACATTAATGTGAGAGAAACACACTGATTGGTTGACTCCTGCAGGCTGGGGAGGAGCTTGCAACCAAGGTACATGCCCTTGACCAAATCAAACCCAGGACCCTTTGGTCCGCAGGCAATGCTCTATCTGCTGAGCCAAACTGGTGAAGGCCATACCAGTATGTCACTTTTAAAGGACAGAGACTTTTATACCAAACTTCAGAAAGTCTTATTACTTCACAGTAGAAAATATGTTTTTAAAATGTTGCTAAAGACACAGCAACTTTCATCTACTTTTAATTGACTAAAACAGGAAGTACTCAGCTATACCCTTTTGAAGAAACCTTTGAAGCCCTCTTATAAAAAATCCTATATAATAAACAGTTAACATGCAAATTGACTGTCACACCCTCACAAGATGGCTACCTATGACCAGGCCAGCAGGGGGTTAGTGAGGGATGACCAAACCACTGTGTGGGACAACCAGGCCAGTAGGGGTGGCATGAGGGGCAACCAGGCCAACAGGGGGGGACAGTTGGGGGTGACCAGGCAGCAGAGTGGGCAGTAAGGGGTGACCAGGCTGGCAGGGGGAGGGGGCAGTTAGGAGTGACTAGGCTGGCAGGGAGGGGACAGTTGGGGGTGACCTGGCTTGCAGCAGGAAGCAGTTAGGGGCAACCAGGCTGGCAGGGGGGCAGTTAGGGGTTATCAAGCTGGCAAGGGGGCAGTTAGGGGCAACCAGGCAGGCAGGTGAGTGATTAGGAGCCAGTGGTCTAGGATTGTGAGAGGGATCCCAGATTGGAGAGGGTGCAGGCTGGGCTGAGGGGATCCCCCCTCCCATGCATAAATTTCAAGCACTGGGCCTCTAGTGTGTCTATAATTTATTACCCTAGGATTTAAAGTAATAGCTCACCTTTCAAATGACCTAATTGATAATAAAACCTAGATCAATGTTTCTTACAACAAATTAAGTATCAATATGTTCCAAAGAAAACTATTATTTTTCTCAGTGTCTGTGAGATCTCTCTTCCAGGCTTGGCCCCATCATGGAGCAAAAAGTATGAGTTAGCAGCTGACTGAAACGGGAGACCACTGGCAATGCTGAACTTTAGCTGAGCCCCTG